ACATTATTTGTGGCATATTAATGCTATGAATTGTCTGCAGACAGATTGTTTGTTCGGCCAGCAAAGCAGTTTGGACTCACAGCAGCCCTTGTACAATAGAGGTAAACACTGCCCAGGAGGAAATAACTACAGAGTGTGAATGACAAAAGCTAAGGCCAAACTTAGAGAAAACCCACACTCAAGAAAAGCTAGGTCAGATGATATGAATTCTGGGAAGGGTCAGAGAAAGATAAGTGGAATATTTAGTATGCAAAACAGATTATTAAAGAGGAATGGAATGGATTTTTGATAAAATGTGACAGTGAAAAGGGGGTTCACATAATTCATGGAAAGCTGTGGCTGAAATATAATGGGGTTTTTCCATGATATTCTTGAATTTCTCTCATATATAAAGATAACTATTTTGAGGAATGTGACTGTATAAGTTGTTTAGGTCAAAAGCAAAAGGATGCTATTGGGGTCAACAAAAGATATAAATATTAATGCAAGATGGACAAGAGTTCTGAAGTTTTCAAAAAAGTTATAGATGACACAATGGAGTTTCTGTTTGTGTGGTATGTGAGTGAATCATCTGAATCTTGTGGCACATGTGTCTCTTTTGTTGTGAAATGCAGCCATCAGTATTACACAGTGTTATGTAAGATCCTGTCAGTGATTCATACATCTGATCATCTCTTAGGAGGAAAAGCTGGCTGATGACCTGTGGTCAAGAAATGGGACCCCTCTCCTGAAATATAGTATGTCAGTTTTAGGCAAGATGGAAAAAATCTAGAATAATCTATTTGCTACCAATTATGTGGTTAACATCTTTATAGATTAAAACCAATTGGGTATTTAAAGTAGGCTTATTTTGCTGATATATTTGACATTTCACAGTAGTTATATCAGATGTCATTAGTTGTTGGCCATACTCTTGGGATTATGTCCCTGCAATATGGTCACTCTGGTTCATCAGCCCATTGTGCTAATAGTAGAGTGGCTGATGACTGAGCCTGGCTGGAGTCAATTGTCCAAGTCATTATGTGTATTGATTTATTTAATATCTCATTCATAGTGAATCATATCATGCCCAACCACACAATAAACCTACATGTTCATTCTCTAGAACTCCTTGGGCCTATTACTGAGTCATTCTGTCTTGACAGGATAAGATTGTATGCCGCTGTCCATGAGTATTTTTAAATATATTCTAACATTATTCAAGTACTCTTTCAACATATTGAGTAATGAGGTTGAGTGCCTCTGTACAATTGTCTGTCATTTACACTTACCCTTTAGAGCTAACACGTTCTACTAACAATATTTGTTGCAAACCATATACTGAACAGTCCGAGCCATAATCTAAGTTTACTCTTGTCCTTACTTGGTCAACTGATCATAAGGGAACCATTCTTATAGAGACACGGGCATTTGAAATATGGTGTCCAAGATGTTTCATTTCCTTGGGTAACAGTATCAACTTGGGTGCTGTGTTTAACAATATTCAAAATACATGATTTTTTTATTTCTTTCCTTATTCAGTGGAAAGTAGCTTTAGTCTGTAGCTGGCTCTGCCTTTCAGTAAGAATGGTTTATTTTTTTTATATCCAAACTTACTATTATATTTAGCTCTTCTTGTTTTTGCCTTCTTCCTTGTAGGGGAAATAGTTTCTCCTTTAAAAAATTTGGGTCTTGAAAATGAGCAATTGATTATGGCTTCTTTATTGAAGTAATGTTTCTGGGATGCCTCATAATTCATTACTTTTTAATATATATATATGGCAACACTATTTTTGAGGGCTATGCATATGACTTACTCTTAAGTATGCTATGTTTCTACTCCATAGCACTCCTTGCTACACATTATGAAAATGACACTCATATGACATCAGGGCCTAAATATCATCAGAATATCTTCTTGATTCTAAATCCAATTATTTATTTTTTAACAATTGCCATAGTTGTAATTAAAAAAAAGCATTAAGAGACTCTAGGGTGGGGGCTGGCAGGTAAAATTAAATAAATAAAACATAATCTCAGAATATAGTGTGAAAAGAGATAAAACTATACAAAGCAAATACTATATATGCATTGTCAATAATTTGAAAAGAAGAGATTTAGAAATATAAGAGAGAACAAAACCTTTGGTGATTTTCTTGTTTGTACCATTGTAAGTTAGTTGAAAGAACTTATCTTTTCCTTGGTCAAATTAGAATCCATCTCACCTAGAAAAATCATAGCAGAAGCATGTTATTGTCCACCAGAGGCAAAGGAAGCAAGGCTATCAATAATAAGTAAACTCTGGAGAGTGTGCCTTTTAAGGAACCAGATAGAAAAGGATGGGTTAGCAAAGGCCATACTCTTTCAGAAAGTGAGATTTGGGATAGAACAAGTTGCATATGCAAAACACTTCCAGTTAGGATTCTCTTGTCTGTTACTCCTTGAGACTTCTGTTAAATCATTTGAGGGAGATAGAGGCTCTGCTGTTAATGCCCTGATTTTAAGACACTAGCTCAGAAATATTAAATGACGTGCTGATCATCAAATAAGTTGGCTGAAGCAATTTGAAATTCTTACTTTGTTTCCAGATGGAATTGTTTCTTCACCACACCATGCTGCCTTAAGTACAAGTTTGAGTTTATTAAGGACACAGACTGAAAAGTTTTGCCCTGCCAGGCAAATTTGGGGCAGAATTTGAAAATAAGCTTAGTATCAACAATACTGTCAACACCACTACCACTCATGGCTTCTTCCCTTGCTATATCTATATTAAATTAATAAAATAGCGAAAATTGGTGATATTTAATGAATGTTCAATATAAGCCAGATATGTTAGTAAAACTTTTATATACATTATCTCATTCAATATCTGCAATGCTTCCAGGCAATAGGGACAAAGGATGGAATGTGTTTCTCAGTTTAGGTAAACTGACAGTAATAGATTAGGGAATTCTAACATCTAGAAATTTCTTCCTAAAGAGAACCCAAGTTATAAAACAGGGAACACATAGTTTTTGCTATTTGGTTACATGACCATCGGCGATGGACCAGTGGTGTCCTCCAGGATATATGTTATAAATAGTAGTCTCTATGACTATGGCTATGATTCATTTGAGAATAGGCTGTTTTAATAGGTTAATAAAGCAGGGTTAGTGTAGATTCTTTCTTGAGTTAGTCTACTTTGAGATCCAAGAGCTTTAAAGACATTGGGAGATCTTACAAGCAACCAAGAATCAGAAGCTGGAAATAAAGGAACTTCCTACAGAACTGAAAGAGAACAGGAAAATATTTTCATTTAGTAACAAAAAATAAAAACTATATGTATTTTCAAAACTTCATAGGCATTGAGTTTGATTATGACTCACAGCAACCCTGTGAACAGAATAAAAGTAGCCCTGTTGATTTCCAAGGCCACAACTCTTTAAGGGAGCAGTTAGTGGGTTCAAACTGCTGACCTTGTGGTTAGCAGCCCAAAGCTTTACCCACTTTGCTACCAAGCTCCCTTGTCTTTATGGTAGGCATTAAAATTTCTAGTCTCCTAAACTGTGAGGAAATATATTTATTTGTTAATGGCACCCATTTGGGATTTTTCTATAATAGGTTAACGATATAACTAAGATACTATCTCTTTGGTAAAGTTTGAGAACCTCAGTAGACAATTATTACTTATTTTTTATTTTCCGAGTGTTTGCATTCAAATGGGTAGAGTGGAAATTTGTAGTTGTCACAATGTTAAGAAGAGAAGGAATGAAGGAAAGGAGGGAGTTACAGAGGTGGAGAGATGAAAGGAGGAAGAAGAAAAAAGAAAAGTTTTTCTTTGAAAGAATGCACAACAACTAGGTCCCATATAATACTTTATACATAGTATTTCCTGTTTGTATCGTATTATATTGCCTAGTTTATTACTGTTTTCTTTTAGCTTGGACTTGGGAATTTTTAAAAAGTAGCTTTATTATTACCAAAAGTTAACTATATTCCATGATGTAATTTTAAGCTTAAATTAAATAAGCAAAATGTAAGCCAGAATTAGCAAAAATTTTAAGTTGAACTACATATAGTTGCGTATACCATTTTTCCTACCAAATTTTGAATTCCAGAATTCAAAATGTTATAAGATAAGGGCTGGCCGTAGCAGTTCATAATCAATTGTACTGAAAGCTATAAGCAGTAGAAATAATTCTATATTTTATTATTCAAAATAAACAGCTTAGGGTTCCCTTGCCTCTGGCACCGTCTTAGCATCGGATCAGAAGAGGTGCCCTCAGTCCCTGTGAAGCAGTGACACATCCCAAATCATATTTTAGTTTAGGTATGTGAGAAAAACACATGACTTTTTTGTAAAGACCTCAATATTTTTTTTTCTTTTTCTAAATAGTAAATTATTTAAAATTACAAGTTTTGTCGGAACATTGAACTGCACTGGAAGTAAAGCTAGTAGAGTTGCCCCAATAAACTTCACTCAAGATAGCATGGAATTGTTTTCTCAGCAGTTTTAAAATGCAAACTGCTTACAAGCTTTTAAGAAAAGATTAGAATGGAAACCTTTTAAATAAAATGAATTAAAATTAAACAATCTAACTTTACATATTCTGGGAGTCATCCAGAATTACAAAAATTAAGAAAAGGTACAAGTGAAATCTTAATAGACTAAGTGTTTTAACTTGTGGCAGTCCAAGAACAATTAGAATGAGAATATCATTTATTTTTAATACAAATAATAATAAGATTTTTTAAAATGGAAAAAGTAACCAATAAATAAATACATCAAATGTGAAGCATTTTAGGCCTTTGTTTTAATTTTTAACAGCATAATGGTTGCACACACATATATGTACATGTATATGTGTGTGTTACAAAATCTGTAAGAAATGAGGTTTGTAATTTTTGTTTTATTTTCAAAGAGAAGGCAAAAGAATGATCACTTTTAATCATAATAGTATTTTTCCTTTCTTAACAGGTGAGCTACAGGAATTGCACTCAGAGCTATTCAGGATCTAAAAAGCATCAATTTTTGCATGGCTACTGCATAAGGATTACTTTACAGAAACCAGTTTCTTTTTGAAGCACATATTTGGAAGCTGTTTTCAGGAAGCAGGTAAAGTGACCTTTCATTAAGCTGTCTTTCATATTGAAATAGATGTTGTATGAAAAATGCAGATAGCCACAAAAAACAATGGGAACAACAATGTGTTGGGGTTCTTTATGGGAATTGGCATACAATAGCCCTGTGTTTTGAAGTTCAATATTCAAGTTCTTATCAACAGTTTCCATTTCCTCTGATTCAATAAATTGCAGATGGGAGACATCCAGGGGAGGGAGGAACAAGTACTCAAAGTGACCCCACAAAGTCTATCAGTGTATCAAGTGCTGCTTTCATATCATTCACTTTATATTCAGTCTTATAAGTAATACAGAGATAGTTTTATGTATACATGAGAGGTACATAGCTGATGGAGTCCATCTCCGGGAGGGAGGGTTGAATTGGTTACCTGAAGGAGGTGTGGAGTCAGCGAACATAGACGAGACAGACAGGAGAGATGTTCTGGTGGAAGCAATCTCTGCTGAGTTCTTCCAAACAGCTTTATTTATACCATAAAGTTTTGCAGACCACTACATAAAAACAATGCCTTATGATTAACTCCAAAGTCACCCTTATTGTTTCCACTAAAACCTGAAAAAGACCATTATAAGGTCTGTACTTTTTCTGTCACTTTCTGTCCTCTTCCTGGTTCTTTCTTTCTGTTCTGCTTGTCTTATAAGTCACATACTATTCTTGATTGAGGTGTTCAGAAAATTTGGTTAGACACATATCCTACTCACTGCCCTGTTTTTTGCTCACAATGTTCCTTTTCTCATTGACTAACTTAAAACAATGAAACTACCTCATGTGCTACTTCAAAGCCTAATATCTACAAGCAGAGTTAAATGCTTCTCAGAGTTAAATATTTTCCTTTACAAACTCTCCCATGGTAACTGTTCCATTTTCTACCTATGTCTTTTTATTTTTATATACTCCTGAGGCACCATGGAGAGCCAAACTGATTCTTTGCCAAAGACTTAATGTTTCCCATTTTACATGTTTTCTATTAATGTTAACCATTCTCTCTCCTTCTATATAAGCCCCTGTCCAGGTAAAGGGGCGTCAGTTGGGGGAGGCAGTCTATAAGGTCCTCTATATCAGGGAGGCCAGAAGAGTCTCCCACCACCTAATCTGAATGGAATCCAGGGGTTTTTGGTGGATTTCATTTTCTCCTCTGACCTCAACTTTGGGGTTTCTTCCTCACTCAATTCCCACATATCCTTCTCAAAATTCTCAAAGATGTCTCGCTGTCTAAGCCTCTCCAATGCCTCAGTTAAGGAAAGTCCCATCATGTAGAAACAAGTTTTAGATCTGGTTTCATTCGTACTTCTCAAGACTGCCCTCACATCCACTCCAGGTGTGGTAAACATGACAATGCACAAAATTCTCAAGAATGGATTTAACAACAGCAAATATTTGAGGGATGTTGGAATCCCCACCTGGGAAGCTCTGCTCTGTAGAAGCTTCTTCC